ACAATTTTAAGAATACATTTTTCATATTTAATTGGTACATTTAAAGAAATTAGTTTCTTTAGATGATGATTTCAAAACTTAAATTTTAAACTTGACTTATAAAATGATACTTAGTAAACTTTTTATGTTATAATTATATCAATTTTGTTTCAATATTATTTCCACTCTAAAGAACTTTACCTTGAAAATGAGGAGTTTTTAATTAAAAAAATTGTAATTTAGCTAATGTAATTTGGGATTGATGCTTATAAAGACTTAAAGTTTAAAATGTACGCACTTATAATTTTAGATATGTGCAGATAATTACATGAGATCATTTGCGGTAGATGCTAATTTTTAATATTGAAAAAAGGCCAAAGCCCCTATTTGCACCCTACATTTATTTCTTTTTCATGGTCAACACCTTCTAAAATTTTTCTTCCCTATTCACACCTTTCACTTTTCAAAACCCGTGAAAAACTCAATATTTTAACGGACCGTCACGGTACCGTTAAAAAATACACTACGTGGCATCAGAAATTGACGTGGCACATACAACGTTTCCTTATTCGTTAAGTTCATATGTGGATCTGTTTTTTGATGATGTGGCTTCTTTACTGCACACGTGAATGCCACGTGTGCAGTGGGCCCCACTACACAGATTTTTCCTGCTTATCCCCGCTTCCCCACCAAAAAAAAAAAATTTAGCTCTGGGTTCTGGAACCCGGAGCTGGGTTCTCGAACCCAGAGCTAGATTCCTCACGACGAGGAACCCAGAGTCGGGTTCCTTCCAAGGAACCCAGATCGCCTTCTATAAAGTTATCAAGAAACACACCTTCAAGGCTGTCATGGATATGATAATGTTCCAAGCATTGGCGGCAACTACTGCAATTATGATCGGACTTTTTGCTAGCAGCGAGTGGAAAGGTTTGAAAGGAAAGATGGAAGGGTATGAACTAGGGAAGATGTCATATGTAATGAACTTACTTGGGACGGGCATTTCCTGGCAAATTTTTACAATTGGTGTAGTGGGGTTTATTTTTGAAGTATCTTCCTTGTTCTCCAATGTTATAAACGCCTTGGCTCTTCCGGTGGTCCCAGTGATCGCAATTATCTTCTTCGGCGAGAAAATGGACTGGATAAAGGGAGTGGCCATGATCAGGTTCGAGCTGGGTTCCTCGGGAGGAACCCATGAGGAACCCGACTCTGGGTTCCTCGTCGTGAGGAACCCAGATCGGGTTCCTCACAAGGAACCCAGAGGGTTCGAACTGGGTTCCTCCGGAGGAACCCATGAGGAACCCGACTCTGGGTTCCTCGTCGTGAGGAACCCAGATCGAGTTCCTCACAAGGAACGCAGAGTTCTTGTTCTAAATTTTTTTTTTATTTAAATAAGCCACATCATAAAAAAAAAAAAGACATCCACGTTGGATTACTAACGGTACATAATGGCCACGTCAATTTCTGGTGCCATGTAGTGTATTTTTTAACGGTGCCGTGACGGTCCATTAAAATATTAGGTTTTTCACGGGTTTTGAAAAGTGGAAGGTGTGAATAGAGAAGAAAAATTCTGGATGGTGTTGACCGTGAAAAAGAAATAAATGGAGGCTGCAAATAGGGGCTTTGGCTTTGAAAAAACTCTTAAATTTGAGTCTTCAACTTTGGTACCAACCTCTAATTTACTTCTAAATTAAATAAATTCCCATTTTGGTCATTAGAGTTTAAAATTTTGACTGCCTTTTAGCTCTTCCCTTATATTTTTGCAGACATGGCTTCCTAATTAACGGTAGACACTTGTTTTCTCTTCAAAATAATTATCATAAAGGCAGTGATATGGAAATCATTTTTTATATAATTTTTTTATATTATTTTCATATATTATTAAATAAATAAATATATTTAATATCATAAGTTTCAAATAAATAAAAAAATAAATTATTTAAATAACATGTAAAATTATACAAAAAAATGAATAAAATTACCTTTAAATTATTTTTTATCATAAATGTTCCAATATTGAAAAACTAATGACATGACAAAAATTTATTGTCCCCATAATTATCCTAATCATCTCATTTTAAACTAATATATATTAATGAAATCATTTATGTTGACAATAAAGTTTGGCCACCACATCATTTTCCAATATTAAATTAGATAATGATACAAGAAAGGTAAGTTTTTTATAATTTTTATATATTATTAAATAAATTAATATATTTGCAATATTATAAATCTAATTAAGTGAAAATAATTAATTATTAAATGACACTTGAATTTATAAAAAAAAATTATTTTTGAATCATTTTTTATATATATTGAAATATCCACCATAAATATTTTGAAGAAAAAGAAAGTTTATGTGGCTAATTAACAAGCCATGTTAACAAAAATTTAAGAGAACAAAACACAAATTTATATAATTCAACCACCGAAATAGGGGTTTGTATCGTGATGGAGTTTTCTAAATCTTAAAATTGGTGAGAAGGGGTTTGTAGCATCCTCCATGGGACTTGGGGCTACCAATCTTTGATAAATTTTTATGTGTCCTATTAATAATAGAGATGTAATTATGGTCACATATCATTTTATTAAAGTTATATATAGATAATATTTAATTTAATTAATATTTAATTTTTTAAATAATTAATTATGATATTTAAAAATATTAATTTATAAATTAATTTTAATATATTAAATAATAAATATAAAATATTTTATTAATAATCATATTAAATATAATTGTATGGTTGCCAATGATCTAAATAACTCAATGGTAATCTCTTTTCGTTAGAAGTAATAGATTCTGAATTCGAATCGTATGGTATGTGAGTGAAGTACGATAAGAGATGAAAAAGAGTTGTCTTCCGTATAACTAACATTAAAAAAATATATAAATAAATAACTGTATGGTCTTAACATTATGAGCTGGGCCAACCAAACCCCTTATTTATCCACATAAGAAGTAATGAATGAACCGGGCTTTGCATAGCCCAAAAAAGGGGCTTTGTGTTCCACCCCCAAAAGCTCGTGTCCAAAGCAAAAGACTAGTTTTTATAACTGACCTCTTCTACCTCTACCTTTCTTCCTACTCTTCTCCTCCAGACTTCGGCAAGTAAATAACAATAATAATAATAATAAATAAAAATCTCTCTTTTATTTGGATGGAAAGAGTTGTTTTACAAATGAAAATTGGAATTTATATGATTTTAAAAAAAAAATTCAGGTACCTTGGACTCAAACTCCAAAAAAGAGTAAGACTGAGCATAATTCAATATTAGGGAGTTGTGTGATAATCTAAAAACACGAATGCATAAAATATAGTATAAAATATTTTATACAGTCAAATTTGTATCAGATTATATAAAATTAACCTTTGATAATGGGCTACCGGGCATTGAGAATTAATGAATGAACAGGGTTTTGAGGCCCAAGCCCCAAGTTCCAATCCAAAGCAAAAGACTAGTTTATTTTTTTTTATTAACTGCTCGGATCTGATAACCACATTGAGTATCGGCTCATATGAAATTAAATCACATTAGATTTTATTTGGGGAGAAGCTCCCCTAATACTTATTTCTTTATTTACAATACTTAAAATTGAAACTTTATTTAGAAAAAAACAAAACTCTTTTCACTTATACCAACAAATCAGCTATTACTAGTTTTCTACTTTTATAACATACCTCCTAGAGTCCCAGTCCTCTTCCTGCTCTCCTCCTACTTAATTTCGCATGTAAAAGAAAATAAAAAGGAATATTTTTTATTTTGTTGTTCAATATAAAGCTGCATATCAAAGATGAAAAATACAAAGAGAATGCACGGTGGACTGCACTATTTCTAACTATTGATGGAGAAGTATGGATCTGTAATATTACGAGTCTACTTCTTTTATTAATAATAATTAAGTGAAGTACAGTTCAAGTAAAGCAAACTACAGTTTACTCTTTAGAAATACAAACGCAACTCAAATACTAGTAGCAACTAAAGATATGCAGCTGTCCTGGGTAGCCCAGCTTATGCAAGGTCATGGAATACCTTATTTGCTTCTCTCCATCTACATGGTTTAGCACTGATGCAATTCACCGAATCTCATGTACTAAAGTTTCAATTGTAATCAAATCATTACCTAGATCAATGAAGTGCCTGAACAAGAATCATCAGAGTCACCTCCAATTTTAATGCTCAAAAATACAAGAAGTTGAGCATGGATACCACATAAATTAAGCCCTTACACTGTAACACATGGACTTCCCCCTAGGTCCAAAGAACGCTCAACAGCTATATTTCATCGTCATTTCATTTTTGTTACACTGTTATACAAAATTTAGCAAATAAACAGACAATTAAAGTTAAGTAAAAAGAAATTCAATTTAGGGGTGGGGGTATGTGTATAATATATATTTCATGTAGAAGTAGGGGGAGAAGAATTGGGGTTCAAAGTCCAGGGCATGCCAGGGGGCATCTGGTTGCAGTAGGCGGCCATGAAAGGGCTTTCATGGTTGTGTACTCCTTCATATGTTGTTATCACATAGCTTGAGTCTTCTCTGTCCCTTTCTATTCTCTTCTTCACATGGCACCCTCCACTTGAACATTTATAATAGTTCCTGCACATGTATATGCAAATTCAGACTCAAATTAATCCTGAAAGTTAAAGATACTATTAAATTATTAATTAAGAAGATGAATAAATTGATGAATTGAGCTAGTGAAGTTGAGGTAAACTTATTGGAGAGGGGCCAATCATCTTATGCACAATAGTAAATTTGGGAAATGATGCATAGCTCATCATGTGTGGTGGTCCTATCACTATACATCAGGAGTTAAGTCTCTTTCAGTAACCATGTCCATTAATTAATTAATTGATGCCTTCAACAACTTGATATATAATTGACTACTCCAATTCCTTAAAAAAGTTTTTTTGGACAGAGGCAACTTGCCTTTCACAAGCCTCTGCACCACAGGAGCATTCAGACATATACGTCACTAAGCCTATATTCATCCAAAGAGTACAGAGAAAATTAAGGAGAGAGAAGAAAATGAAGATAAGAAGAAACAACTCTTCTTAATTTGTGGATGCCAGGAAATGCTAGCTTTATTAGGTGGGAACATGCAAGGACAAGCTGATGGGTGCTTATTTGGACATACATGTGCGAGAGATGATAGTATATATATAAGATCGACTTGATATTTGGGACATGAAAAGGAACCTGGCTCTAGCTCTCAAATTTTGATTTTTCATCCTTAATTTATAAACTAGCTAAGAGAAAAGGAAGAGGTGAATTTTATTTTTAATAAATCAATCAAAAGAAATTATATTTAAGAGGATCAGATAATAATGGTACTGCAATCCATTACAAAAAAACATTAACAAAATTTACACTTCTAGTTACATAATTAATACAACAGCTCCCACGAATCAAATTCAAACCAAACTTTGAACAAAGAATCTAGCAGCAAAATTAAGTGAGAAAATCAACACAAACCAACTTCAAGTAACAGTAAGCTGGCCACACAACCACACCACAAGAGCTCACTTACGGCATGCAATATGAAATCTTTTGAGTTGTATAATTAATGAAAGATAACCCTCTAACATTTCTTTATTTACTACACTTGAATGCCATATAATGACTTTTTATCACTAAGTTAATTTAAGTCATTGGTCACGCAATATAAAATATATAATAGATTATCTCATGCCATGTACACAAAATTACCTGAATTCTCTCTATGCTTTTCTTTCATAATATAATAAGCCATCATGTTGAAGAGAAAGTAATAGAGGACTGGCCTTATAACTGTTAAAAGTTGTAAGCAATTATATAGAATTATCATAGTTCACAGTGTCTAATTAACCAACCAATCCGCCTAAAGTATGTTGACGCGTGTTGCCATTTAAAAACAACATTATCTCAAATGATAAAACCATCTTTTATAATCTTAACCCATTATCTCAGCCCACGGGTTTTTTGTGTACTGTTAGGGTATGATTGGTTTGAGCAGAAAGGAGGGGTGAACTTAAATTTCTTTATCTAATTACTTAAAATTTGAAGGGAAGGAGAGGAGAGGGAAGAGAAGCCTTTTGCCTTTTTTTTTTTTATAAAAATTTATTCACTTATTTAAATGAGTAAAGGGGTGGAGAGGAAAGTAGAAGGAAATGAAGCTCTCTTCTCTATCATTTCTTTCAAATTAAATATATTTTTAAATTTTGATCATAATGAAAAAATTAAAAGAGATATTAATATGGTATTTAACAATATTTTACTTCATTTTTTCGAAATTTGATTTTGGTCCTAGCAGTACAGCTACTGAGCATCAAAACATCATGCTTTCCCACATAAAATAAAAAAAATGGGTCCAATTGCATTTAACGCCATCCCATCTGTTGTTTTTATATATAAAAAAACTCCAATAAACTCCATATAACTCCATTATTGATGTGTATATTTTATAAAACATGATAAATATTTTGCACTCAGGTCTACATTAGAATACAAACACTATCCCTATTAATTGAATGAGATCTATGTCAAATCCTATTTATTTATCAAATTAATGGTCTAAATTTACACTTCAAGTCAAATCGAATAACAAAATTTATTTTAGTACCTTATATTCATGCAGCCAAATAATCAATGAAAAACCGATTAGTCTCAAAGTAATTTGTCACACACCTCGGATTCGGGCTATTCTTCACCGACTTTTTTCCATATTTCCTCCATTTATATCCATCATCTAACACCTCCATCTCCGATTTCATTCTGAATGCAACCCTATTCCCTGCTTCCAGCTTGTTCTTCCTCCCTCCATTTCTACATTTTCTACAAAAAAAAAAAAAGTGATAAAATATAAATTA